ATAATGCATTAATATTTTATTATTTCATCATTGATTGTATCATTCAATAATTTAGAGAGAGTTCTTGTCTAATTGCAATCAACAATCTATATTTTTTTATCTCACCTTTATATCATCACTTATATCATCTTTTGAAGAAATACATTTGTATTCCTATTAAATTTTATTATGTTCGATCTCGCAATCTTTTAATGTTTGAGATTAAATAAAAAATAATGTGAAATTCGATAACTCGGTTCTCTTGATAAGTCGGTCACCGAGTCCAACCCGACATGACTGACTTATCGAGACAAGAAATAAGATAAAGCATAAAGTCCAATATTCATATGATTCTCCTTTCCGCACACAGCTAGGAAATCTATCAGCACAGTTACTTTAGTACTAGTTTCAGCATTTGTTGCTCGCCTTTTGATGTATCTAAAGCTAGGAAACAAGTCTCAATAATTCAATGCAGTAAGCTTGAGCAATGATTCTTTAGCGTAACTAATTACAATCATTGTTGATTGATAATAAAATAATAATAACATGTTAAATGTCATGAAGATGGTTATTCAAGATGGAGGATATAAAGAATTATTTAAATGTGTATATTTTCTACTTGTTTGTGATGATTAATTTGAATGGTTTTATATTGAATATAGTTAGATAGCAAGCTTCAGATCATGAATCACACAGTGACTGAAAATAATAATAATATAGAAATAACAATGATTAGAAATAATTCCTTAACAAGATTTCAAATGAAACTTATTTCATGGCTTTGCACCACTGCACCGATAATTTCTTTAATATACTATCTCTTTTATTTAGCTAACAAAAAGTCATTGTTGGTTGGAATTTTTCCTTTTAATAATTTTATCGAATCTTCTTCTTCAAGCTTCTTACACTATTGGTTAGGTTTTGAGCTTTTGTTTTATTTTTATTTTTTACTAACAAAAAGTCGTTTACAAAAACTATTGGAACCTGTAACTTTGAGAAAAGATCAACGCACCAAAATTTTACACGATTGTTTACAAGAAATTGAAGACTTCAAAACTTGGATTGAAGGTTGGTTTAAAGTTGGTGATAGAAAAACCACCTTTGATCAAATTCACAGGTTAAACTTTGCAGAATGGTATTTATTTACTTTACATTTTATTTTATATTTTATCTTATCCATGCTCTTTTTTCTAATGTTTATTCTTTTTATGTTATTATTTTATTTTATTTTTTAGGTTAGCATGGAGTTTTTTTGGATGTGGCTTTGATCAGATACAAAATAAAGAACATGAAAATGAAATCATAGAAATTATCAGTTTAATTGAGATCAGTAATAATATCAAATTCCCTGAAGGTTATAATCCAAATTGTAAATGCATCAAATTAACTCTCGATCCTGTTAAAGCAATTCCTAGACCTTTTATTTACTATATGGTATGTGTTGAAACTCGTGTATATACATATATACGCACATATTTCTAAAAACTTATTTATTTTTTTCTTTCCTCTTTATTTATTTTAGTCAATTTATGTATTAAATTATATAGTAAGGGTTTTTTTAGGATTGTGCGGATTTGAACATAAAAGTTGTAAAGAAAGTATCTTGAATGGTTATTGGTCAAGCACACTAGAATTTGACATTCAAGAAGAAAACTCTCTTTCATCACTGTCTAAAATTAGTTATTGGTATTTCAATCCAAGTAACAAAAAAAGAAAAAAGAAAGCTCCAATTGTTTTCATACATGGCGTTGGAGGATTGTTCTGTTATTTCACATTTATCAAAAAGTTACGGAAATTAAATAGACCTTTATTTCTAGTTGAATTGCCTTATGTGTCATTCCAAATGGTCGAAGATGTTCCAAAAATGCATGAAACTGTAGAAGAGATTGAAAGAATGATAATTTCTAAAGGTTATTCTTCTGCAATATTTGTGGGTCATTCTTTGGGCACAAGTGTTTGTTCTTGGATGATTAAGGAAGCACCAAAAAGAGTTAAAGGTTTAGTATTGGTTGATCCAATTTGCTTCCTATTGCATCATTCTGATATTGCATTCAATTTTGTATATCGAAAACCTGTTTCTGCAAGTGAGGTTTGTATTTAAAATTAATTTGCGCATATTTATATATATATATATATAAAATTGAATTTAATTTTTAATAATTTTGTTTAATAGTATCTAACTGCACTTTTTGCATCAAGAGAATTGTACATATCACATTATTTCTCGAGACATTTTCATTGGCACGAAACTGCATTATTCATCTCAAAGCAAAAAAATCTTTCGCAAAAATGCATTCATTTATTTATCTGAACTAGACAATATTATTCCTTCCGATAAAGTTTACAAATATTTAAGTGATAAAAAAGTATCTGTAAATATGATGTCAGGATTAGATCATGCAAATTTCTTGTTTAACACATATTGGGTTGATAAGATTATTAATGATATTTTATATTGCTGCGATAATTAAGATAAAATTAATGATTGTGAAATTATTTAAATGTTGACATATGAAATTAGGTTTTTTTAGCATCATTACACCACGCGTTCGATTTTTCCTCGTGATTTATTACAAGTATTACAAGTGCTTTTAAAGGGTTTTGGCTTATTTGGAACGATAATAATTCTTTGACGTAATATTTAAAGGAAAGATAGATAATCCATGTACCATATCAATTTATGTCAACCAGATCAGACGTCATAGTCAAAAGAATTTTAATCCTAAAAAAAACAGTGCTAGAATATATATGAAGCTAATGATAAATAGAATAATAATTTATTATAATATTTCATATAAGCAAAATTTTTTATTTTGTCAACATAAGAAAAAAAATTATTTTATACAAATAAATAAAAAAAAAAATTATCTACAGAAATATATCTTAATCATGTGATATTATTATGTTATTTTAAATTACAATTTTTTATTGTATAATTATTATATAAAATTTTAATTTTTTGTAGATTTGAAGCTTACCTTTTTATCTTACATATTAACAGAAGAAAAAAACATCAGAAAAAAATCGAAAAACTTATTTGTTCCCAAAATAATCAAATTTTCCTCTTTTTTGACTTGATCCATTATCGTCATTAGTCGATCCAGATCCTTCATTTAATATAAAATCAAGTGCGCCCTTTGATTTACGTTTTTGTGGTAAAGGTCGTTGACTTGACGTTATTTGTGGTAATGAAGCTTTGACAGTTTGCGAGATTTCTTGTTGTGGTGGTGAACTTAAATTGTTAGAATGATGAATCGTTGATGAACTTTGATGAATTTGAACAGGAAAAGAGGACTCTTTGAATGTATCTGGCAATAAAAACCTTTGCACGGGTGTTGAAGATTGCGATGATAAACTGTAAACAAGTTTTGATGAATCTGTTTGCGGATAGGATTTTTGTCTTTGATTTGTTTGTATTGGTTGAGGTGATGATAGATTTATTTGTCTCTGGTTTTCTGATTGTTTTGGTGACATAATTTCTTGCCTAATGTTTATTGGTTGTGTAGATGGTAAAAATTCTGGCCGTTGTGACATAGAAGGATTTGCATGATTTTGATGGTTGTTATCCAGAGCACTTGAAAGGATTCGATGAGTATTTATACCAGAGGATAAAGTATGCCGACGCAATGTTCTGGAGTTAGAAAATGTCGGCAATTGTGTTTGTTGTATATCTGTTGGACTGAAATCTTGTCTTAAATCTGATTCCCATTGTTTATTTTCTGAAAACGATTTATCTTTATGACGCGCTTGCGGTGAATTTTGATGTATTTGAGTGTTATAACTTAAAATATTTAACTCGGGTGCTAGTGTGATGTTTTGTTGTAAAGATGATTGCACTTTGTCTCGAAATTGCTTTTGGGTGGCAGACTGTGACCCTTCTTCGCTTTGTGAAATTTTTCGTATTGACTCGTGCCCATAAGTAGTCGAAACTTTATGTTGAGAATGATGATGTAAATCGTAAAGTGTTGATTGTGGCGAAAAATTTCCTTCTTGATACGACGATTTTGAAATCGCGTCGATGTTTAAAGATCTCTTCCTACCAAATGTTTGATTTGACGTTTCAATACTAGGTTTGGGGGTCAAATTATTATCTTGTATATTTTTTTGAAATTTCGAATTTGTTTGTGGTGTTGTTGATTGTGTTCCTTGAAATTCTGAAAGGTCGCTATTATGTTCATGACCTAATATGTCCTTTTCTGACAAAGGAAATAATTCTTCAAAACCATTACCTTTGGTTGTTATTGTCATCGTTGAAATTTCAGGTCTTGATAGTTTTGTACCATGAGTGCTTTGCGGAAGAGATTGTGAATCATTACTCTCTTTGTTGGCAATTGATTGTGTGATATTTAAATTTTGTAATTTAGGTGATAAATTATAATTAGATTCTTGTGAAAAATTACTATCTGAACCTAATATTTTTTGTTGTTGAATGTTTAAATTGTGTGGTTTTAAAGGGGTATTAAAGGTGGGATTACTCGATGTGACGGGGGAATTTGAAATTAATTTTAAATTTTCTTGTTGAGATGGTTGCTTTTGTTGATTTGTTGTTGATTTGGTATTTTTATTATCGACGTTAGTATTGCTTTCGTTAAATTCTTCCCAACTTTCATCATAGAATTCCTCCTTTTCCGATAATTCTAAATCATCATTATCATCATCATCATCATCATCACTATCTTGTTGAGGAGTAGAAGCTGCCTGTAAATCCCACGGGTCTTGACTTTCTTGGCTACTTTCGTCACTTATTTCAGAATTTGAGTTTGTCTCATTATTTTCTTTTGGTCTTCTTGATCTTCTTTTCTTCTCTTTGATTAATTCATCTATTGAGTCATAATCTTCATTGCTCGAACTTTGAACTGCTTTTCCATCAAATCCTTTTGGGAAATCAAAAGGTTCTTCTAAATTCTTAAAAGAATTTTTTGGTTCCGAATTTTCGATTTCTTCGGCGTCATGAATATCGTTATTAGTCATTTTTTTTTCAATTGATTTGGTATTGTTCATGTTAGCTACAGGCGAAGTTTTAACAATAATTGATGGGTGTGAAGATGGTGGGTTTGTTAGTGATGGTGGCGATGATGATGACGACGGTGACGACGACGACGATGAAGGGTAGGCTGACACCAACGAGTCACTGTGTGTTTTCCCGTCATCTTTTACAAAATCACCTATCTTTTCCTCTAATTCAACATTATTCTTATTCCTTATATTTCCTTCCTTATCTTCAGTACCATCTTTTTTTACCTTTTCAGTCACATTTGCTATTGACTCATTATCAAATGATATTTTGCTAATATTGTTATTAACAAACGAGGAGCCTTGTTTTGCTATTATTTTATTTTTAAGCTCGATTTTCATATCTTTTGTAGGCATTTCTGGAAAATTTGAATTATCTTTGGATGAATTTTCTTTAGATGTTAAGCTAACAATAAAATTTTGCGAATTTTCATCCAAAGTAGTTGATTTTTCTGATGAATTAAAACTTTCATGATTTTTTTGATCAAGCTTTATTACGCATCTTTCTAAATAATTATGCTGCTGATCAGTAGGAAATTTTGATTCACGTGATTTAGAATCTTGTGCTTGTTGAACCAATTCTATTGGCTTCATTGGTGTTGGGATGCTTTGTGGGATGGTAGTTGAAGGGAAAGCGGACGAACTTGACTCAGAATTAGAACTGACAAGCATAATAATAAAGATTTGAATTTTTTTTCTTAATAAAAAACACATCATAAAGATCAAAGTTTAATTATACCTAGAATTTCTAGACTCGAGTGATATCACAGGCGGGCAAGAATAGTTTATTGTTTTTGAAGGTTGTCTAACCTTCCAATTATTCCTTATGACAGATGATCGCTCTTCTAACTAAAGATAAATATTCATGATTATAAGATATCTACATTTGTTAGCTGATAAATAATGATTATAATATAGATTACCATTTCTCTTGACACAGCATTCTCTATAGCTTGTAATGTTTCCTGCAGACTTTGCTCGGTATCGGCTGTCTGCTTATCAGGACAAAATTTTATAAACCTAAGTTATTAATATTATGATAAAAGTAAAATTAAGCCAATCGTATTTAATGAAAGCATATAGTTTAAATAAACTCAAACCGTCCATAGATTAATTTTACCTCCATCCACCAATACGTTTTTGTGGTGCGTAGCCTTGTTCTTGAATTCTAGTTTCCCAATTCTTGTCATACCTAACATAATAAAATTACAGATCAATATTGATTTAAAAATATGTGTGCGCGCTTGCCGTTTTTATATTTACCAGAATCGACCAATTTTGTCATCTGGCGGATTTTTATACCAGCTGATTAAAAGAAGTTGTCTGATTAATATGATTGATAGCATATAATTTTAAAATATGAATGAATGCCTACTCTTTTTCAATAGAAGGTTCTAACGTTAATTGGTCAATTTTTTTATATTGATTTTTATCCGCAATCATTATATGAAATACTGGTTTTTTATCTCTTTGATTCTGAATAATTGTTTTTATTTTAAAATCTACATTTATCTGTTTTACTGGCCTCCATAATAACCTTGTTTCACGCAAAATTTAAAAAATAAATAAACAAATAAATAATTTAAAAATAAAATTAAGAGTAATTAAATCACTTACAATTTCTCGCTTCTTCCAGGTACGTAAGGATGATTTACAGGGACAAATATTAGACCTTCATTACCGTATTTTAAAGTTGAGATTTTTTGTAAAGTATTACTAAGCCCGTAGGATAAATCCATGGTTTTTATTTCTATGCTAATCATGTCAAAAATGTGCAGGTAGAATCACATTTAATGAAAATCGGATGACTCTATAATTAGAAATTTTTAAATATGTACATAATACACACGTGAAGGGCATTTTGCTCTTAATATCTAAATTTTTCTGTAGTAAGGTATTCAATGGGTCTATTACATCTTGTCTGAGCATCTAATATATACAAATTTAATAAGTGTTATTTTTTCAGGTCCAAAGTCTAAACGTTTGTTTAATACTTACGCCCATTCGCTTATTATAAGGTTTATCGATTAAGACATTCCCATTCAACACCATTAGATCAAATATCAAATACCTTAGACATTTCTAGACATTGAAGAAGTAACCTTTAATTAATTATGCTGTTCAACATACACACACACATACATACATACATACATATATACATACATACATAACACTTTAAAAAATGTATGCGTAATAAATAATTTCAATATGCAAATAAAAAAAAATATTTAAATAAACCTTTTCATCATCAATTTCCATCACCACCTCTCCGTCCATCATGGTTTCATTATGAAACTGATTAAGGTTATTACGTAATGGTAGCTTGAACCCAGTCAATGTTCGAAATTTATTTAATTCGTCCATCTAATTGATTGATAATCAAGGCACAAAAAGGTTTTTATTTTTTAGATTATCAAATAATAAATTTATTTTAAATCATAATTACCATAAATGCTGTACCACCGTCCACAGCTGTAAAAAACATAATATATCGTTTTCCATCAGTTTTATCTCTAACATAATATTCTTCTGATTCTAATAGATCAAAATGACATTTTTTAAAATCTATTGGTTGAGTTCCTGGAAAACTGTAAAATAAAAAAGAAAGAAAGAAAGAAAGAAAGAAAAGGTCAGCTTAACCGTTCGTTAAACAATCTTTTAATGCATAAAAATATGAAATTTTATAATAATAATAGCTATAGTAACTTTACCATGAAGTTGTACGTAATAAACTTTTGATTCTTGTTAATAAGGTGTCAGCATAATTATCATCAAGTCTTAAACCTATTTTAATTTCTGGTTTTGTGATAGAATGATTAGGGTAGGGAGCCATTACTAATTAATATATAATTTAATTTTATTGTTTTTTAATATATGCGAGTGGAAAAAATAAAATCCAAAGACGATGTTTTTGTTTTTTTTTTTGTAAAAAAAGAGTGAAATTGATAGTGCATGAAAAAGTTATCGTTTTTAAAGGTTTCACTTAAGTTTCAGTTTATTCTTAAAAATGAATAAGAACTGAAATGTTAAATTCCTAGAAAAAATTTTTTGAATTAGTAAGAGTAAATTTTTGATTTTAAACGTCAAGAATTGTCATACCTTTTTGGTTTTTTGCTTAACCAATAGGAATCAAAAAGGTTTTATCGGATGCTGCAATTGTCAAGGAAAACAAAATAAAAAAATAATGAATGGAAAAAATATAATAGTAATAGTAATAAATAGGTTACATCAAATAAGGAGAAAAATTATCAAATTTAGAAATAATTTTGACAATCAGCGTGGGGTCAAACCATGATTTATTTTTTTTGAGCATTATAATGAAATGAAATTTCCAAATATTAATATTCAAACATCCATCACAACCCCAATTACTCGTTTTTCGTGCAGCTATCCCCATCATATTTGAAGCATAATAATAAATAAACTCTACTTTTTGTGCAAAAAAATATCAAACCTCGTTATAACAGACCTTGTTATAATGGGACTACACATAATAAGAAAGAAATTTTACTGGTACTACAAAGAATTTTCAGGGTTCAAAATTATTCAACATCACACAATTGTACTACATACCTACTACATATGATTAATGTGGATTTCCTTTTATCGAGCCAATAGCAACAAAACCAAATCAAAGAAAAATCGAAGATACCAATAATGCTTATTATCTAAGAAAATTTCTTTGGTTGAGCAGTATTGGCACTAATTCAGAAAGTAAGGTTGATGATTTTTCGGTCCCGTGGGTCGATATTTTATATTTATGGTAATAATATTGACAATTTAACAGAAAAACGAGTTGTATATAGAAATTGAAATGATGAACAATAGTAACGATTTAAATTAATTCGTAACGGGAATGTAAGTAGGCTTGATTAGAAATATTCATTTAGTTTGTGTAATTTACTTCATAAGAAGTATATATACGGATCGACTTTTTCGCCCTCATAGCACTCCCAAGTAAGTATATTTGGGATTTGGGACAAAGGATTTGTCAGATTTTATGTCCTTTCGATCAGAGAACAGAGCGGTGGCCATAATTTGATGCCTGAATGTGTAAATTTTATAAATAAATAAAATGAGTCGTTTCTTTCAACATTCAACTGCATTGGATGTTGACCATCATAAACTAATAAACGACCCTGAAATATGTAGTTCGAAAATATGAATTGTAAAATCACGATAGAAGTGCACGCAAAAAATCTCTCTCGTATAAACCAGCCTAATTTTTTTTTCCCTTACAAAGGTTGTAATATAAAACCAACAATAATTTTCATAATTCATATGATTCATGTATGTAGGTGATAGTTCGCATACACGCTAATTGTTATTAAATGTCCATGTGCACTTAAGTCATTAAGCATGGCATACTTGCTCTTTTTTTACAAATTAAATCATCAAGTTTTTTTTACTAAAATGATAATATTTTAATGTCATCAAGGCTTTCTTTACTTTATTTAGTCATATTTTTTACTTTAGTAAAAAGTTTTGATGAAATGTTTATCAGAGTTGTAAACAATTACGTCAAATTCACGAAGAAAGTAAAAAATGACAATAAAATGCATAACGATGAATTGACACATATTTTAAAACGTTATTATATCAAAAAAGCTCTTTTAAAATAAGTTTTAGATTTCACCTTTTTGTTTCTTTTTTTCATTTTATTCGTTAAGAATTCAAATTAGCCAATCAGAATTTTGTATCCAAACACACAAATTTGATTTTCATGCCACTAAACGCACAGCATTGTACAAAGAAACCTCTGATTTTTTTGGAATTCGAGATCAAGAGGTATTCGCTAGTAATCATGGAGGCGTTATTTGGTATGATTCTGAGGAAAAAGGTATGTTATTTGTTGATATATGTAATAGTCAGAGATTTCTTTTCCTGTATTAATACCTTTTTTTTTTTTATAAAATAGTGAAGTGAGAGCGTGACTTTTACATTATATAATGATAGATGTGATAATAAACAAGCGACTGGTATATTGTTTCGTGTGAACATTATTAACATTAAAAATGATTATAAGAAATTTCAAAATAACATAACCATTGAAGAAGATATCTCACACACACGGAAAACCGTTCTTGGACAATCTGGGAACATTAAAAAACGATTCAACCGATATGCAACATTTTATTACAATATCCAGGGCTCGAATATTAAAACCTTACAATCATTCACATCTTCCTTGGGTAGGGATGGGAACGGTTCGGTTCGGTTCGGTTTATAAATCGCCAGTTTGGCTAGTGAACCGCACCGACCGGCGGTTTACCACCGCGGTCTGAACCGCGGTTCAAACTCAAGTTTAACCGCAGTTTTATAATTTTATTGGTAAAAATGAAAATTTTTTTTTTAAAAAACAAATTATTTGTTCCGACAATGAAAGCTATTTTAAACACCACCACTACCAATTCTCTTCATATTTGCTTGTACTTTAAATTGTTTGCATCAATAGCTGGAGTTCAGCCTGATCTCTATATCAAGTTGTAGCACCATAATTCAATTAATTGTGATTGAAATATCTGTTATCATAATTTTCTTTTATGAACAATAAAAAAATAAACATAGTTAAATTTTATTATCAGTCCCAATTCAAAATTTAGGACCACAGCATCAGTTAGTAAGATTTTTAAATAAACTAATGTGTAATTTGAATAAAATTAATAATTGAATAAAATTGGTAAATCCAATTCAATTAAATAATTTTTCTTTATCAATCTATTTTTTCCTTCTTAGCCCTTGTATATAATGATAAATCTTTCTTTTCTTTTCTTAAGTCATACTAGTAACCATAGTAAATTATAAATGTAATCAATTATCTTGTTATAGTTAAATCCCTTAACAATAACAATAATATAGAATTTGTTGCATCAAGATGTGAATTAATATTTTATATCCAATATTTTGTAAAACAAATAAAACGAATAAGTATGACCAATTTTTGAAATGTAACTTGTAACCAGCTCAGTTTCAAATCGGAGTTTGAACTGGGGTTTAACCGCGGTTTTAAATGTGTAAACCAAACTGCCAGTTGAACCGGTTTGGGTTAAACTACTTGATACGTTTTTTTTAATTTTATTAATGACGATCTCTGGACCACGAATTATAATCTGAGTCCTGTGTAACTTTTTTACGCGTAATTTTGTTTTTGCTTTTAGCTCAATGTCCACTGAACTAGATTTGTCAATTAAGTCATATTTTGAGAGTACACCCGTTTTATTATGGTCATATTTGGGTTTTCTAAAGACATTAAAATCTTATTGCATCTCGGAAGAACATTCGATGGACGATCTAAAATCCATTTGGAGGAAGCGATATATAAACTTTCTAAGTGACTTTCTTGCTAAGAAAGAACACGATGGGGACATCAAAAGGCGTGTAACTCTTCTGATTCGACAGGTTCGTCATATTTCTGTTTATTGCGATCTATCTCTAAACCATTATTGGCGAGTTCTATGCAACCTATGAGGGTACCGTCCTCTTTGTGGTATGGGGTGCCGTTCCCCAGCACTGTATCTCACGATCTTCTCTGCTGTTGCATGGCTTAGAGAGGGTGCCGTCCTTCTCGAGGTATGGAGTGCCGTTCCTCGGTGTGACAGATGTGGGGTGCCGTTCCTCCAGAAAGATCAAGCGAAACATATTAAACATACTACTTTCTTGATTGATATTTGCTAACTGCTTTCTATTCTCGAGTTTATTAGAAGCGTCCATCTGAAGAAAAGAGCTTTTGGGATAGTGTTGAAATAGAGAGAGAGTTGATGATAAAAGAGTTATGTATGACTTTGAATAGTCTTAAAGTATTTTGATTTTAACATGATCATTTGGCAATTTTCTAGGATGTTTTCGATAAGAAATCACAGATAGAAGTGTTGGATGTGCTCTGTATTTCTCGTAGTCAGAAATCTAATGAGTATGTTAATAAAGTAAATTCACACCTACTGGAACAAGCTGAGATATCAAGAAGGGAAGAAGTGGTACCATAATAGGACAAAAGCGATCTTACGAGGAAGATTTATCTTCGATATCATCGGGCAAGGTCTGAATATAATTTACTATTTAGTTTTCAGACATGTCTTTTAACCCTTTTGAAATATGTGCGCAGATCAGAACAATCAGTACGGAAGTGGATGACAATTTAGTGTTCAATGATGAGACGAACATTGCTACTTTTTCGCAAAATCAACTGCAACTGATAAGATGGAAACGATTCCTCAAACAATAATGCAATCTAATAGCAAGGATGATAATTTATTTCTCGATGATGAAATTAATGATGTGTCAGCTGAAGTCCAACAGTTCATTGCGAAAATGAAGAGAGTGGAGCACCGTCTTTTTGATTATCATATTATCAACCTTTCTGAGCGGAATCAAATGGACCCAGTTAACAAAATCTTTACAGACAATGAGAAGAAAATGATGAGACAATTCTGGGAAATTGTATGTATCAATTACCTAAAGCTTTTTTAGATTTAAACCAATTGTAATCTTGTTAATCCTTGTAGGGTGAACCATCGGCTGAGGAGAAATTAAACACTGTACGTCGATCTAAATGGGGCAGCATAAAACAACTCATTAATAAATATACATCTGCAGTTAAGCTTGGATTGATTTTTGACGAAGAAGAATTGCCAGCAGAGACTATTTTTGAAAGGCTATTTGAAGGAAAGCTTGTATTTAGGACTCATTATGACATGTTGTGGATTCAGGATGTTTATAAGCGATTGTAGGCAAAGAATTAATGAATAAATAATATTTGATCGCGTAATCATATTATTTATAGTCAATAACACATCTTCATTCTATTTAGTGTACTCTTATTTGCCATGCCATTCAATAGACTCCTTCTCAGACTATAGTTCTCCTTCTATAAAAGGAAAGGATAATTAATGACTTTTCCCTGAAGGATATAATGCAATAGAAAATTTGGAATGAAGATGTGGTAGCAAAAGGCCAAAGAATAGTGCAGTCACACAATTCACAATTCACTTATGAAAGTAATCATTTTTGTTGAGTGTTTGTTTGTAGTTATATTGATAATAATGATAATAATGGTTTTTTTATAATATTTTAATTTAGAGGGGTTGTTTCACAATTGTAAAGAAGTATCAAACACAAAAGAGTGTAACATGATCTGTTTAAAAGTGATCAATAATTTTTTTATTTTTTTGCCATTATCACCACCAATCCCCACTAAATTTGATAATTAAATAATAATTTCACTTTGTCTATATGCCCCAAATATTTAATTTTTGGTCAAAACTCGCAAAAATGTTAAAGACACATTTCACAATTTTATAAATAAAATTTTTCATAAATAATATAGTAATCATCTTATATAAAGATTTCCAAGTTGAATATAAATTTTAAATTATGCTGAATCATCCTGTTCTCTAGGTGAAGTTATTTCTAAAGCATAGTTTTCCTCGGGCTGTCTTTCCCAAGTTCTTATAGAATCATAAAGCCTTTTTTATAAAAAAAGGTTATAAAAATTATTATTACTAGTTTACATTTGTTGTAAATTGTTTTATTAAAATATATTTACCATTCTTTTCTTACTATATGGATAGATCCATATTTTTTTGCTTGTTTTACTTTTTCAGTGCCCTTCTGGTAATATTAATTAATTATTAATAATAAGGATAATAATAATAATGATGATGAGGATTTATACTTACATCACCAGCAACGAGATGTGTTACATTTTTATTCCAATACTCTGAACACTCTGCACCGAACTCATTTGCTAATAACCAAATTTCTGTACTAAATAAATATTTTGATAAATAAAAAAACTGTTTATTAATTTGTTGATTAACTAATAAAATCTGACATAACCATTATTTATTGTAACAAACCTGTCTTTTTTTTGATTTGTTGGAATAACATGAGTAAACAAAATATTGACACCTTTAAGAACCTTTGATTTCATTTGTGGCATTAAAAGTGTTACATCTGGACGATCTATTTCATCATCAATCCTTTCGTTTAACTCATTTGATATTATATCATATTCATCATAGAATTCTTGGTGAATATTTTTCAGTACCTTTTTTTTTTAATTAAAATACCCATGTATATTAATAGTTAATTCTTAATAACTAAATTATTAAAGCAATTTAAATTATTACTTTTAATAAATTAGGCAATTCTGTGTCATTGTCTACAAGTATCAGCTTTCTATTAATAAATTGATTATTTGCATTATGTAAAGGTGATGTTTGTTCCAGTATTTCAGTGTCAATATTATTGGATGATAATTCTTTTTGTTGTCTTTTAAGTGACTTTTCATCTGACACTTCAATATCGTCAGCTATTTCTATAAAAATCTTATTGAATATAAATTGATGATTTCAAAGAAAATTCATTAAATTAAACTAATAAATTTATTTATAATCTTACCTTCAAATGTCCTTTTTTTCTTGTTTGAAGGATTTATTTCAACAATATTAAATCCGTTATTAGTATTATTTGTTTCAGATTGTTTTTCAATTTTATTGGAAATGGTCATATCATCAAAATCTACTTGTATAATAAATAAAATGTTATGTACCTATTTATTTATTTAATATAAACACAGCTTCTAATGAACAATTCTTTAACTGTACCTTTATCTGTTTTGACAGTTTCCTTTTCTATTAAATCAAGAGATTTGTTTGTTTCTGACTGTTGTTCTTTACTATCCTTGGATATTTCAATGGTTTCTATTATATTAAATAACGCTTTTTTCAGTAATAATGATGATGATAATGGCATTTCTTATAAATTTAAAAAAAAATCAAAAAAGTCACCTTTGGCTATATTTGAGTTGTCTATTGACATATCAATTGATCCTGTTTGTTCCATTTTTTCTATTGATTCTGTTTGCTCTGTTTGTTCCATTGATTTTTTTGATTCTGTTGTATCAGGATAAACAACTTCCTTCATATCAATATTAGTAGAAACACTTGTTAAATCGGAAACTAGATTTGACCCTGTCTATAATAAAGAATAAGTTGGAATGTAAATGATATATGGAATAACAATAGAAAGAAACAAGTAAGGTTACCAACCTGTTTTGGTAAATATGTATCGTTTATATCACCAATACCCACAAAAAAATCATCTTAATTGACATGATAATAGAAAAAATAAAACATAGATTAAAAATATGTAATTGTTTGATAAAATTATTAAATTAAACAATTTGATTTAAACCTACAAGGTTGAACCTTAATTAAATTAGGTGACCAACCCCATACATCAGCTCTATCATCTATAACTACAACCATATAATCATTACAAGGAAAAAGCCTTCTAATATTTTTTTGTGTGATGCCTTGAAGGAAAAAATTATATATAAAATTTGATTAATACTTGGTATTGGAGGGGGGTTGATTCAAAATCATTAAAGAACATACTTCCACTTTCATCACGTGACAATATGCGTTCATTAAAGATTTCATTGTCAGGATCTATAACATTCGCTACAGCAGAAGCGTAATTACGTGTACCCATGGTGTATATATGTGGTTCATAATATACAGAAATTTCTTTAAGAAATTCTTGAATACCAGGCCTAAGTTTTTTAAAGATCAAAAATTATTTTAAATATATACACTAGTAGTCAATGATTAGTAGTATGGCTTCATTATAACAAAATTTAGTATGTACCTTAATTTAATATAATAAACAGTTGGACTATCTGGAAGAACGAATTTGTGAATATCTTTGATAACAGGATTATTTTTGTTATTTTCATCTTTAAACCATTCTTCCACTGTAGAATCAACAGTAGCATGAATGAGAGTTTGATCTAAATCAACTATTAAAGAAAGTTTCTTTTCTTTTAATAATCTTTGTGATGTTTCTTCTTCTAATCTTTCAGCCTCTGTATGACTCACTGTCAATCCCATAATATTGTGAGCCATGCTGATAGTAGCTCTTTCTCTATAATTAATTTCAGATGATTCCAATGCCACAACATCTTTACCACAAAGAGCACACAATCCATGCAACTGAATTTCATGTGTACAAGAATCTTCAGTGGCAGAATTATTAGCACTCATGTTTGAATTTCAAAAATTAATAAAATTATTATGTTAGTATTATGATTGCTGCGGGATAATTATTTAATTTGATTTGATTGATTTACATTACATATCTTTTAAAAAATTTTCCTACAAAAATGAGCCGATTTGGAACTTTATATCGTGGTTCAAGAAGAATACCCATGACTGCAAAAAGAGGCCATGAATATTATAAAGGTGTTTGATTGTATTGTTAAAAATGAAAGGTTATTGAATACAAATATTAAATTTTATAATAATATATATAACGAGTTCTATAGGTAATCGTAGTGGTGCGATAGGTTCACACACAAAGAAAGGTCGGTTGCATTAAATATAATGGGGATTTTTTTTTTAATAATAAAAATTTTTATAAATCATTTGTTATCTTTTAATTTCTTTTCAGGTGGTTATCGAATTGATATTAAAAAAGTTCGAAATTTCATTGTGCCTGATTTGACTGATTTTAAAGTAAATAAAAGATTTTATTTATTATTTATAATTATTATTAGTTGTTGATTATTGATTATTAATTATTAGCTTAAACCATACGTTGATGCAAACATTAAGATTAAACCTTACGTGTTTACACCAAGAAATTATTTGTATATGGCAAATAAATATGCAAAGGATAACAATTTGATTGATTTATATTATAGACCAAATAATTCGAATTCATCCATCACAACACAAGAACATCAAAAACAAGTCGATTGAAAAAATTCAAATAATCAATAATAATAAAAATAATTAAATAATTTTATCTAATTTTCAATTTGTTAGATTTGACCCTGCCAACAATTCCTACTAATATCAATCCGACTGCTGAAAACCAAACCCACAAATTATCAAATTGATTTTTTGTCCAATCATTCTGTGTACCTCCAATAGCAGTTAAATAAACAAGAAATAATAAGAAATATCCACTCATACGATGATATTTATAAATCCTTTGTGCCTTGGTAACTCCTCCAAATAACCCAGGAAAATTTACCAAAGTGCCTCCTGCAACTGATTGGATTATCAAAAGTATAATTGTTATTAATCCAAATACTCCATGAGGAGTTGTGACTTTTTTTCATAAAAAAAAAAGATGATTTTCGTTAGTTGAAAATAATATATTGTAGCTTTACAATAAAAATATAAAATAATTACAATGTTCTTTATCATTCATATTTTTAAAAGTGAAGGTGACGTAAAATCCGCCGATTGCACTTAATAACGAAATGGTTTGAATCAATCTATGCAAGTCAAGTCCCAAACTTTTTTCTTCCCTGGTCATAGTTTGTTGAAGAGCAAGAATGCCTATTAAATGAATCAAGTCGTTGAAATCTTTTAGACATCCATTTATTATAATAATTAATTGTTAGTATCTATATATATATTATATTATCCTTACCATTTGTCACCATGAAAATAGTTAAAGCCATCAATGTTGGATGCCATACAAAAAAGAAATAATCAACGTTCCACATTATGTACCAAACGGTACTAGAAAATAATAAAGCACCAAGACTAGCGGTCAAATACAAAATAAAGGCCATGTTGAAGGTTTGTATGTATGGTGTTTGGATAAAGTTGACGTCGTTATTAATTTTGTGGAATTAATTAGGATCTTCATATATATGTGAGCAATTTTATATATATATATATACACCGTGTAACTAAGTATTATTTTTGAACGTGAAAATCCACATGTCAAAACGTTTAAAGTTGATATTAAAGTTATTATTATTATTATGTGCAACAAGACGGAAATTTGCTGTTGCCTTAAAAATATGATATCAATAACTCGAGAATAGCACCATTAGAAGAATATTGCGCTTATGCTTTTAAATGGAATTTCTTGAGCTTTCTATCCCTGCACCACACGGAGGAACTCAAAAATCCAAAACGTAATAATAATAATAATAATAATAATAATAAAAAGAGAATTCCAAAATGCAATTTGTGTAATTTATTATTTACAATAATAATAATTTGTTCTATATAGAATGTGAAAAAAATGATGTCAATGTATTGGCATTACAGCAGCGGTTCTTTGCTTAATTGAACGTGCAAAATCCCCAATATAACAGAAGGTCTTTTTGATCCAGAACTTGACGAGTTGCCATCATCTTGTCAAATATTGAAGGTTAAAATAATCTGCAAAAGCATCGTCGTCATACTAAATTTCATTATTTAATTTTCAGTATAAAATAAAAGATTACACAAACGCGTCAAATAAATTATTTTGGGTTGGCAAAATCCTAGCGGGACACATTTTTTTTGTGCGTGTGAAAATGAAATCTATGTGAATTTGCAATTCACTATAGATGGGTATCTAAACTAGACAATGTCTAAAATATAAATTAATTTAGACATTTTAGACAATAATGGTCTCAATTGTCTAAAATGCCGAAATTGAATTGTTTATTGGATAATTCTGAAATTTTGTGAATTTTGTGTATATCCACGTGACTTTTAGTTATATTTAAAGCAAATCATTACTATTTATATTAATTTGACATTTTTGTCTAAATACTATTTTTGGCTTTAGACAACCCCAAAAACAATTTATATGCCCATCTATACAATTCGGGATGATACTTGGAATATAATTTTTCATTAGAATTTCATCCCATCCCAAAATTTCAATTATAAATTTCGATTTTCACATAGTTTTACAAATCAAAATTGTCAAATAAATATGCACCCAACCACACAAATTCATATTTGATTTAGTAATACAACAATTAGCCTCAATTGCCCTAAATAAAAAATATAAAAAATCAAGACTTTAGATAAGGAATAAATGGAGACGGGAATTATGATGGTCCAATTTTGCAGCCTGTTTACTAAAAATTATATTATGACAAACAGCTTTCACCTGTCCCTTTCAAGATTTGCTCACGAATAATAAGGACAGTGGGACGAGTAGTAATGGCACAGTAACCCGTGCTTTTCAACACCTTTATTTTTACCATCATTATTAATAGTATCAATTTTATCATTGTCACTAATTTATCATTATCATCATCATAGTCATGATCATAATCCAGAGAAATGACTCCTCCTTCAACACTTTCCATAGAATTCATCGATGGCATAATTGTGACAAGAGAACCTCTAGAATTAGAAGACTATCACCAGTAGTATTATTAATATTAGTCACAGAACATTTCACGAAATGTATTCCTTTTCTGCTAATACTGGTTCCACCAACACTGTCTCTAACACGATTTGATGATCAATTAGAAAGTGAAGAATCCCTGACATGATTTGATGATTTGGATCGAAAAAAGACCTATTTGACATCAATGATTCTCTACTCCCAGATTGTCTCATCATATCAGCAACAAGACTTGATGATGATGTGTTGTTATTAGGATTTTTGAAAAATGAAATATTAAATCTTCGATAACATTGATTTTGCTTATCATGAAGAAATCTTTCGAACTTATTATCATTATATGAATTTAAAAATGACAATAAAGATTATTTTTGAATGTTTTAAAAATTAATATTATTTAATATATTATTGTTATATAAATTTCAATGATGACAAAGATTTTATTATTTTCGAGATGTTTTAAAAATTATAGCAATTGAATATATTATTATATATAATTTAAAAAACAAGATGTTTTAATGAACTTCTATAAATTATATCATTTAATAAGAATAAAGATCAATAGCTATAATCTGATGGATAAATGTTATGACAGAAACAAAGCAATAATGACAATTATATTACATACCATTGTTAATATGACTTTCACCACGAAGCCTCTTAGCTAGTTCAAGATCTTTTAAAAATTGGCATACATATGTATCTTCAAGTATATATGTTCAGTAGCAATTACATACACATATATATTGAGATTAGTGGATTCGATCAACAATATAACTAAATATTCACATATACTCATATGTTTATCATATGAAATTACCTTCTTGAAGCGCCATTATAACTGTAGATTGCTATCTAAACCAAAGGGAGTTACTTGGGAAATGTCCATGGTACTACCTGGACCTATACAAAAATGTATATGTAAAATTCCCAATTAATTTATGTAATAAAAAATAAATAACTTTTTGATATTTTCGGATTTCTGCAAATGTGTTATATAGGTTTATAGCTTTTATTATCATTATTACCCAATATATTAGAAATATTACGTGTATTTAGTTTCTTGTTAATGCCAATATTTAAAAAAATCAGTACTCATTACATTATGATCAACTTCAATATAATCAACATAATTATTAACTTCAATGTCATTATTTGCCTCTTCATTTAATAAGTCATTCGAAACAATATCCAACGAATTATCAACTTCAACATCATCATTAACTTCAACATCATTATTTGCCTCTTCATTCAATCGAGCATTTAAATCAAAAAAGCATTCAATTATGATCAAGTGAATCTACAATTGTTTGTCCATCCTCTAATGTTTTTTCTTTTTTTCTTTTTCAAAGAATGTTAGATATTGTCGCAATTTTGTCAATTAATTGTTCCTGTTTTTTTTTTATTGCAAAAAAAAAGAAGAATTGCTGAGCTATTAAAAAATGAAGTACTTTTTAAGAGAGTATTAGATTATTAATTTCAGAATTTACTTACAGCTAAGAATTCTTGAAAACTAAAAAGCAACAAAATTTGTCACATTTTTTCCTTAAAGGATTCATTTTATAATTTAAATTGGAGTGACCTGCTAAAATTGTGATTAATTATCTTGTTTCATTGATTTCATTCAAATTCATATATTTGATACACATAGTATGGGTACAGTAGACAAATATTTGATATGGCTTTGGAAAAATAAATTTTTTTTTATTAATAACCAGAAGTTTATTTTTCGTCCTGATATTATTTATTGTAATCGTTACTAAGAAAAGTCAGAAAAGCAACACGGTTACTGTATTTTGATCTTCTTTTTTAATTCGATATGCAACACTTTTATTTGATTACTGGATGGAAAGTTTATAGTTAAATCATTACAATCATTCTCTCTTCCTCGTTTACATAAGACTAAGCTGACCTTATAACCTCAAGATATGATGATGCAACCAAATTTTCGAAAGCGTAATGTTCTGAGGTTTATGGAATTGCATCATTGTCAAGGGACTCACGAGTAGAAGTTTAGGATCTTTCCAATACAATATTTTGATAAAATGTGGAGTAAATTATCAATCTGGCATGACTTCTGAATTGGTTTATAATCTTGGGAAAACGTCAGTTAAATGGTCTAATTTAATCCTTATTTTATCAAGTGATACTGAATCAAAACCAAAAATTTCTACCTGTGTGCTTGCTTGTCTGAAGCCTTCCAACATGTCCAAAAGCCTCATCTATGGAAAAATTACATAACAATAGGTGCAATTGCATGGCACTTGTATGTTTTGTGGCAGGAAATCTATTAAATCTGGCACCCATGATCAGTCAGGGTTGGTGCTGAACATGAATATTATTTGCACCTGTAGATCCAAAACTACCACTCAACAGCAACACCAACATCACAAACCACCATAATATTTACTCCAGTGACTCCACCATCTCAATCACCAACTCAAATAACAATCGACTGCCTGATCAAATTCATCACCAACTCAATTACCATCATCAAGAACACCAAACCACAATACACTTTGAACATGTCCAATGCTAACCCTGCTCATGATCTCAATACCAGGTTTCTTCATTTCATTTTTTGGGATTTTAAGAAAGGAACCCCTACAACTTATAACTATATGCAATTAGGAAAGGAAAAAGGAATGTAATTGTTTATTTATTTTGATGACCTGGGTAGACACATACTATTATGTCGCCATTTTCAAATTTAGTCCCTTAAAAAGTCATTTCTTGGTATTATCATTACCTGGGTGATGCAATTTACTATATATTCAAATAATAATTATCATGAATATTGTAACAGACATATCCAATTTACAGAGACAAATGCATTTACATTCAAAGGAAGGATTAATTAAATAAAAACAAAAAGATAAGTAATGCAGTATTGGCATTTGGCCATGGCCAAGAATAATAGAAAGGAAGGACAGTGAGACTATACATGAAGTCGAAATTAAAACCCCAAAGTCAAAATGTTTCGACTTGAGGCAACTACATAGTAAAAATCAGTTTCGACCCTGTTTCGACCAGATCTGCGAATGGTCGACTTTCATGTATAAGTGGGACAGGTGCTTATAGCGCAGTAACCCGACCCTTTTCAAAAGGACGGTGGGACTTGAACCCGTCCCGTCATCATCCAGCCTATCTACCCATCTATAACTAAATATGAGGTCTATTCCATATTTAATTATGACTAAAAAGAATAGAACACCTAATCTATGAGTTAAAAAAAATTTATATAGGGTGGTGACTCTTGAGTTCTATATTTTTAAAAGTTGTACAAAATATAGTTTAGATATATATAATATAATTCAGCTTTTTATTAATTATGATGACCAAGAAATACACACGCATATATATACAGTATATATAACCACGATTTTATCATTACTTTATTTTGTTATTATTCATCAGCATCTTGAAACATTTCTTCATCTTTGTTATCACTATTATCACTATTATTTGGATTTGAAGATGATTGTTGATGTTGATGATTATTTGATTGTTGCGGATGTGTAATAATTGAATCAAGGTATGCTAACGAAGCCTAAAATTTATAATTAGTTAATTAAATCTTTTTATATAAACATTCCTTTCAAAAAAAATCTAATATAATAAAGCACAAAATATATATATATACTCTTCCAAGTTCACTAAGTTCTTGTTCATCACTCGGTAAAGCTGCCATATATTCTGTTTCATTCCAATAATTCTCTCCATCTTCTTCATCTTCCATTTCTTCTTTATCCGGATGTAAAGCAGAACATTCTGATAATGCTTCAAAGATTGCCTCAACTATAAATAATTTTTAAATTATTATTATTATAATCAAATAACTTAATATTTCCTAAAAAAAGAAAATTAAGAACGTACGAGCTCCAGTGTCATCAGGAATAAATCTCATTTCTAAAGTTTGATCGTCTTGATCATCTTCTTCATCTCTCTCTCCCATTTCTCTATCTTCTTCGTTTTCTCCCTCTCCTGCTCTCTTCTCATCTTGTTGTTCTAATTGTAGTTGATGATGATGATGATTACTAGCTATAACGGCACCAAAAGATATTGATTTTTCATTTAATTGTGTATAAATACATGGTCCTATACCGTCATCTACAGCTTGTTGTCTTGATACTGCATGTATTATAATAGTTGGATAATCTATCGCCAATCCATTATTTGTCTCCCATGAATAAAAATATAATTTGCTTTTAAAAAAGATAATAAAAGTTAACTAATTTTACTTTTTTATTTTCTTCTTTTCATGACATTTAGCCACAAAAATGTAAGAGTTGATTTATTTTTTTAAAAAAACAAACCTTTCTGTAACCCATAAAGAACCTTTTCCGATGTTAGGATTATGAGTATTTGGTGAAATTATGACATTGACATTATTTTGAACATGATGGGTAATTGGGTATAGTATCCCTGGTTCAAGCGTGTGCTGTTGAACTTGTTCACGGCTAATGACTTCAGGTGATGAGTAAATTAATGTTATCGTCATATTTTTTACAAAAAAATAAAAAACGAAAATAAAAAAATTGGAAGATTATCATTTATCACATTGCGTGATAAATATATTATAGCTAAATATATAAATATAAAATTTTCTATCCAATTTTTGTAGTTATTAGCTTTCTAATTAATATCAGCATGATTTGGCATTAATGTTGCCATTAGTATCATCGGTCTTATCAGCATTAGTATTATTATTATTAGTGTAGTTGTTGTTACGACTATAATGAGTTGCAATCAAGGTGGTTGTTGAACGATGATATTGACAATTATTAGTAAAATTTGCCAAATCCACGGCAAGTATAAGGCAATCAATGATAAAAAGATTTACAGCATCCGAATTAGTGAAATAACCTATGCTACCGAGGAATAAATCTTCGTTATTACTATTACTATTATTATTTAATTGATTGAAATTTGTTGTGTAATAATAATAATATAGTATTATTGTGATAAAATTAATTTCGGATGGTAAATATTGAAGGTTTATGCGATTTATCAGGTTGGTTTCTTTTGTATTTTTGATTTGTTGAGTCATGAGCCGGCTTTTCCCTTTACTTTTTGATTGTTTAGACTTGAAGGAGAATTGGCTAATTTTTTTATTATTATTTCCAGTAGATAATGGTGACTTAGCATTTTTGTTTTTATTGTAGTGTTTGACTTGTTCGATCATCCTTGTTAAGAAGAATCAGGAAATTTTCCAGTTGTAAAAGTGATTGAATATGACTGACGATTGGTTTGTGATTTTTGGTTTCCATTCCTAATTCGTCTTTACTTTCGCTCACTGACGATTAGACCATTTGATTCTTCAGTAGCCGATTTTACTTGATGAAATTCATTTGTTTCTATTACAACGTTAATCACGGTGAATTTAGCGAATTTTCCTTCGGATTTTGTCCTAATATTAATATAGGCTTATCTTATTACTATTCCTCTCGCGACGAGAAGATAATCCTACTACTACCGAAAATTGTTCGTCTGTATTTATTATTAAACTTGATCGACAAAATTTGAACATATAGATGGCAATTAATCCTGAAATAGAGATTGGTGTTGCACTAAATTGATTTTGTCGTTTTCGTTAAAAATTTTTCATATATTATGCGCAACAATAAACAATGGATTATCCAACTCACCATCAAATGCTTGTTCCACAATCAAATTCTAGAGTAGTTCCTATACCACAACGTAGGCCTTCTTCATCTCCCTCACCACAAAGAGATCGTGAAAGTTCACTACCGATTACACCTCAAAGGCGAAGTGCAGGAAATTCTCCAGTTAGTATTAGCACAAGTTATATCAATAAATTTAGTTGTAGCATTCAACGCTTGTATTTTTTTTTTTATATTATTAATTAATTAATCAATATTTTTTTTCTCGTAGATGAGTTCAATAGAAACCATGGTCACTCAACTTCTTGTTACTACCAAAGCTTTATTGGAAAGTTTAACTGGTTGGGCGGCGAAACGTGTTAATCAACAACAGGTTTCTGATATATATGTAAAACTTGTAAGTGAATTTAACACTGTTATACAATTATTTTCTCAAACTGGAGTTGATATAAGGTGAGTTAATGATAATATATAAGATTGTGTGTGTGTATATATATATATAGTTCATATTTCTAACAACTAAAATATTTTAATTTATTAAATAAATGAATTAGCGATTTAACAAATATTCCAACAAATTTAAGAGCATGCTTAGAAAAGGCACTGAGCGAGGAGGCTTCACAAAATTCTTTAGAGAAACATCTTCCTACAATTAAAGAAACAATAGTGTCATTATTAAAAGGATTAAAAGCAAAACAAGCACTATACAAACAAATTCATAATCCTCCACCTAGGTGTGATGTAGAGACAGCAAGAACCTCACCTCCCCCTCCACCAATACCCCCTCTACCAGACAACTATTCAAATGCAAATACTTCATTGCCATCATCAGCAGCAATAACAATTAACCCCGATAATATAAGACACATGCCTATTTTAGCTGCACCTGTCATTGGATCAATAATAAGATCTTGCTAATATTTCAGTATCTCTCCTTTCCAAAAGCTTTGTTGTAGCTGGCAAAGGACAATCACAAATTATCTTTGATTTACATCTTTTTTGTTTGGCCTATTTGTTTGATTAGACAGTAAAGACAGTTTTAACGTTTTGTATTCTTAAATTTATAAAGGATTAATCAATATAAATATATAATAAGGTCATACTTTTAAGGAACAAATTTGAATTTCTCCCTTACCAATTGTAGTTTGAATAATTACTACTATGACTATGACTGCTATTGCTATCATTATTGCTATTAATCATTATTACCAGGTTCAATGACCCGATGATTATAAATGTTTTCATTAGAGTTCTTAAAATAAATCAAACATGTCAAGCCTAGGGTGCCTGTAATTACTCGCTCCAGATTCCTAATAACACCACTATTATTAAGGGCTAAGGATTCTTCTTCAAAGGTTAGACTTCAATAAGCCTTTCATAAAAAAAAAGAACCCGAATGCAATTTCAGTAAAATCCACAAACTTATTGCACCATTCTAAATTTTTAAGGACGATGGTGACCTTGCCATTGACAATTCTACGGGATTGCACAAGTCTAGTCTGTTGGAAACACCGTAAACAAGTTTGTGAGTATTCATTAGTCATTCCGATCAATATCTTTTACACGTGAATCTCGGTTTAGCGGATACTAACTAAAAATCTCGATTTAACGGATGAACTTTCCATAATAATAATAATAAAAACTTCTCAATATAACGGAAAATTTTCCCTATTGCTATTACTTGCCCAAATTATTCGTTAAACCGAGACTCTGGTCACTCTTCGGTAAAGACATCTTCGGGTTTAATATTGCTTTTTTCCAATTTTGTTTGATCAAAGTTAAGAGGCATGTTTATTTCGATTTGACTTTTTTTGTTTAAAAATTCTTCACTTAAAAAAAACGCGTCATTTTGTTATGTAATAAATTTTTTATTAGGCTCGTGACTGACTTGATAGTAAGAAGAGAAAAAATAATTAATCAGCAAATAATATAAATTGGTATTCAATTAATTTTAAATAATAATAATATATTCAAAAACGTGTGTTCAATTAATTTTAAAAAGTAAATATAATAATAATATAATAAAAAACTAACATTGATAAAATAACAATAAAAATAATGTCACAAATATGTATGTTTATATATAAACTATGAATTATTATCTTCTTCATTTTTTGATGATGATGGTGGCGATATTGATGATGTTATTGTTGTTGCTTCAGCACTAAATAATGCTTTTAAATTTTCCTCATTCTTCTTTTGACGCAATCTTTCTATTTCTTGAGCTCCTCCTGTCTTTTTCAATTTGTTTTCTGATACAAATGATGTAAGTTCGGCTTCAAATTCATCAATACTATTAGCTAAATCTATTTCTCTTTGTTTTTCTGCTTGCTCCAATGCCTTCAACCTTCTGTTATGATCTGGTGCTATACCTTTAACCTCTTGAAGAACTGTCTTCAATCCTTCAAATCCCTCTTCTTGAGGTTTGACAAAAAATTCTTTTTTGTTTTTGATCTGAATATTTATGACTTTAAGTATTTGTTCAAATACTTCTGTCAATTTATTATCATCATCCATTAAATCTTCGATCAGTTCCTCTTGATGATTAAGGAATTTCTGTTCATCAACAATCACATTCAGCTCATCTTCCCATGTCTTTTTCCACATTGGCTTAACCGATTTAAGATACTCTTGCAATGAGGCAAGCTCTTCTCGCACACTTGCTGATTCATTTTTAACATGTTGAATTATTGTATCTTTAGGTTTACTCCTTCGTTGAACTACATCCAATTTCAGATTATCAATAAGGTCTTGAAGATCATCAACCTTGGTAAGCAAGGCTCTTGTCTTACTATCCACTTTGGCTTTTCCTGCTTCGATAAATGTTCTTGCAGATGAAATATTTTTCGTTAGTGCTACCTTTTTAAAATTTTCTGTCCTGGCCAATAATGTTTCAAACGTTTTCTTAGAATTTTCTTGAAACTCAGTGTAAACTTGTCTCATCACTCCTAAATCTCTTCGAAGATTTTGTACTTCGTCATATTGATCTTTAATTTCTTTCGCAACTTTTAATACGTGCTCTTCTGTCACTTTCTTATCATCAGAATCTTTCTGTTTCTTCACATTCTCTAAAACTTTCTTTGCTAATTGTGTAAAATGTGATTCACTTGGACGTGGTGAGGGTGGGGTGTTATTTGCAATAATACTATTGTGACGTAATAATTTGGTATTCTCCGAAAATGATTTCTTTATCTCTCGAATCTCTTTAGTAAGCTCTCCAATATTTTGATCAATATGTTTCTTAATTTGTTCTAAGGCTTCAACATTTAAAGCCAACACTGAATTATCTGTCACTTCATTCAAATCTTCTAATTCGTACATTATTCCAACATTTGGGTCTTTTATATAGATATTAGGAAAATCATCCATTCCTGGATTATATTGAAATTTTTCAATAAATAATATTCTTAACGTTGGTATGCTAATATCTCCATCATATTGTAATTTTTTAACTTCATTGCCTAATTGAAGAAATAATTTAATTCCTATTTTCTTTTCTTCATCTAAAAAATTATTTTTTTCACCAAAAAAAACCCCCCAAAAAAAAATAAAAATTATTAGAAAAATA